CAGACTGTGACAGCCCCTGCCCACCACCCCTGGCCTGACACCCATGTGGCCCTGGGTGGTTCCATTCCACTATTTTGGGCTGACCAGGAGCAAACAGTGTGTTTTCTGCAGTTTGTCCCTTGGTCAGCACTAACGGGACGCCTCCCTCCCTGGCCACCCTGGACAGCCATCAGACCGTCACCCCATGAGGTTGCTGATTTAGCAAGCGCTCAGAGAGTATGTTGCCATCACCAGAGGCCAGTCTTGATGTGAGCCGTCCACACAGCCACCTCCTTCATCTCACGACCAGTCCCCGAGGTTACCCCGTACAGAGAGGGCAGAGGTTCTGGTTGGAAGGGCCGGGTCCAGCGCCAGAGCCTGCTCCTCATGGCTCGGCCGCCCTTGGCCCGAGAGTGGGGCCCTGCGTCTGTTTCCTGAGAGGACAGCTAGTTGACTGGGGCAACCGTGAAGGAAGTTCCTAGAACAGGTCTTAGAAACCGGCCCCCAGTCACTCACTGCTCCAGCCTGTGCTGCCAAAGGCACCGCCAGAAGGGCCTGGGAGTCCTGCTTACCACCTGCTAATCCCCCCGAGCGGCCTCTGGTTTTCCTGCCCCGGAAGCTTAGAGGGAGGCGGATCGGTGCCTGTGATGCCCAGAGGGTCTCAGCCCCACGAGCAGAGTATGGTCAAAGCTTTGAACCCTACAGGCTGAGGTCAAATCCCAGCCCTCACACTCATTTGCTGTGTGACGTTGGGCAAGTCACTTAACATTTCTGAGCCTGTTTCCTCGCCTGATAAAGGATTGAACTCTAGCATGTCCCTCCTAGGGTGCTGGAAGGATAGAATGAGCGGGTGGGTGTTCAGTGAGAGGGCCTCGAGGTTACTGGCTTCCCTGGGGCAGGCTGCCCATCACTTATTTGAGAAATGGCTTAAAAGGGAAGGTCCCAGCAGCTTCCCTGCGTTGGTGTTGGGGCTGGGGGAGGGGGCGGTGCCGCTGGCGTTCAGCGTTGTGCGAGGGAGCAGTGTGGGTAGGTGGGGGCCACAGGACAAAGGATGAGAAGGAGAAGGATGCTTCATGGCTCCTGGCTAGATTATTCTGTACTTCTCTAGACGCTGTGCAGAGGGGCTCAGGGTAAGTGCCTGTCCCCCTCATACCTTCCGTCCTCCCTGACTGTGTTGGGGCCCCAAGAGGGTCTAGAACAGAGAGAGGGGCCCCCAGGCCCTGGCATGGCAGCCCCGTGATGGTGTTTCTGGTCTGTCCTCAGGGGCAACTGGATCGGAGAAGCCCCCTACAGAACCGGCCGGCCTTGCTCCGAGTGCCCCCCCAAGTATGGCGGCGGCTGCAAGAACAACCTCTGTTACCGAGGTAGGAATCCACTTCAGAGCCCTTGGGAGCGGGCTTCCACTCCTGTCCCTGAGTCACAGAGCTGCCAGCATGAAACGGGGACGTTGGACAGCTGGGGGAGAAATTGGTCCCTTCCACCCTTGCCCTCTGCTCCCCTCCTTCATCTCCAGACTCCGGCCCACGCTCCGCTCCTCCCCTCTCTATCTCCAGACTCAGGGTTCAGCCCCAGCTCCCCAGGGACCCAGCTGCCCCTGGGACATCCCCCAGTGGGCATCTCCCGTGGGCGGCACTGACCAGAGGCATCCTGCCCTCTTGGTGTTCAGACTTTGGTACAAGACAGACGACAAACGAGGAATTTAAAGCAGCTGCGTGATGGATGGTCCAGGCCAGCTGTGGGCCGGGTGGGCTGTTGGAGCCCCTCCTGCTCGTCCTCGTCCCCATCAGCCCCCCACCCACCCACATGTGTGGCTCACCCAGCCCTTACTCGTCATAAACATCTATGTTCCCCTCCCTGCTCAACTCAGGCCCAGCCAGAGCTTTCAGGCCGTGTATTTTCCAGCGACGCCAGCATTTGTTTATTGCTGGCCACTCAGGTGTTTCCATTTACCCTGCTCCTGTAAATAATGCACAGTTTTCATGCCTGAAGTGCTCACATTTTGGACTATTTCCTCCAACTCCGTCCCGGCTGAGGTGCTGAACGTGTGTCTGCGGTTGAGGTGTGTTTTTTCACGTGGCTGCGTCAACAGGTCCTGTGACGGCTGAGAGGGGCCTTTCAGGAGGGTTGGCATGGGCAGGAGGCAGCGGCCCTTCCCTGCCGGGGGCTCGTGGGGTCAGCCCAGTGGGCTCCCGGGTGAAGAGTGGAGTTCCAGCCCTCGGGCTGGTTATTCCCTGCTGATTCTGCCCACTGCAGTGGGGCAGGGTGGGGGTGTCCTCTGGGGGGAGAAGCAAAGGTCTGATGGTTTGGTCAGGGTGGCCTGGTCCATGTGGTCCCCTGGGTTGTGACTTATGTGCAGGTAGCTGAGTCTCCAGGGGAAGCGGGGCTCAACCCAGAGTCTAGACATGAGACTTCTGGCTCTGGATCTTGGGGATCTGAGGCTCTTTGCTCAAACCCCTCAGTCTTTCTGCCTAGCAGCAAAATGGGCCTGGTGACTCCGTCCGTGACACATCTCAGGCTCAGATGAGAGAGTCAGTGCATTTGGTGTGAACATCCTGAGTGCCTGCTGTGTGCCAGGATGTTGCTAGGTGATGAGGTGGGGTGACTATGGGGACCAGTCCTGGCCCTGCCCTGGGGAACCTGGTGTCCAGCGGGGCCATCGCCCCTCTCAGGGCATGATACAGGTGCCCCGGGGCTGTAGCAGGAGCCTCCACCATGAGCCGGGCCAGGGAGGGCCTCCCGAGCAGGCAGCTGTTGAAGAAGACAGCCTGGTAATGAGAGAAGGGAAGGGCATGTCCGGCAGGGAACTGCACATGTCATGGCACGGTGTGCAGGTCCTGGCAGTGCCCGCCACGCGGTAGGGCACCACGAGCATTGGTTAGGTGGAGTTTCTGCTCCCCCTCTTCACTGTCTTCGAGACGGGGTCCCCACGCCCATCCTTAGTGAAATATTCCCACACAGTCCCACTCCGATACCTGGATTCCTGGGACAAGCTGGGTTTTAGAGTCTAGTACACCTGCTTGAGGACTATCAACCCTGCATGTTCCAGCAGGGGGACCCTGGCGGGTCACTTCATCAATCTGAGCCTCAGTCTTCCTGTGTGAAAATGGGGTGACATGTCGGCTCCCGGGGGCAATGGGAGGGCTGAGAAGGCAGGCCGACACTCAAGGCATGTCAGGCTCCAAGTCCCCTTTCAGGCGGGTCCTGTGGCTGCTATCTGGTCGCCCAGAGGGACAAGTCCCCTCTCAGATCCTGAGGGCTGGTTTGGGGACCGTGAGGGAGGGCAGACCTCTGGGGGCGCCCCCTCAGGTCTCCTGCTGGGGGGCTCCATGTGTGCGCGAGGCAGGCCGTTGGCATGCAGGGTGGGCAGAGGGGGCGTGTCTGCACTCCAGGCCGGGTATGCCAGGCAAACTGCTTGCCTTCTCTGAGCCTCAGTTTCCCCCATCTGTAAGAGTGATGCCATCATCTCCTGTAGATGGTTTGCTGGGAGGATGTGGTGAGGAAGGTATGAGTTACTAGGACAGCAGCCTGCACATAGTCAGCACTTTATAGACCCAGCCCATTACTTTCTTGGAGAAGTAGAGGTGGGGAGGTATGACCTCACTCATCACCTGGCATGGAGTTCTTTACCTTAGGGGTTACTGGGGGCCCTCTAGCAGTCTGGGGGCCCCATCCATCTCAGGATCCTGGCACATGCCTTCTTTTCTCGGAAAACACAACTGTGGTGTCACACCTCCTCTAGGAAGACTTCCCTGATTTCACAGCCAGGCCGCTCACTTGCCTCCACACCCTTGCTGCACCCAGACTCTCCATGAACTTGAATCACCTGTAGTTACAGCTGCTGGTTCATTCCAGGGCCTCCAGGGGCACCTAGCAGGTGTGTTATGCATGTTGTCTGAATAAATATACCCCCAAAGTCCACAGAGGGTCCTTGTCAGAGAACAAATGTACACAAAGACAGCCTAGATGCTGGTTAACCCCCCAAAGAAGCCTCCTGGACTTGCTTCTTTATTTTTGGTGGAAAATACCCAACTCCATTTGGCGGGCATCCTGATTTCCTTAGCTAACCATGCAGAAAGTCTCCTCTAAAGCAGCTTATCTGCATAAGCTACTTAATAAGCGTTTATTGAGGTGCCTGGCAAAGCCTTGACCTCTTAATGGAGATGGAGCGGGGATAAGGATAGACCGTAAGAGGCGTTCCCACCCCTCCAGCCTGTCCCTGTGTGGCGATGAAGGGTGTGGGATTCAGGGAAAGGAGTCTGACTCTCAGCTGTGTGAGCTTGGGCAGGTCACATAGCCTCTCCAAGGCTCAGTTTTCCCATCTGTGAAATGGGGCTGTTCACGCCTCCCAGGGCAATGACAGGATGACACCAGAGCTTGACGTTAGCTATGAGCTTTATCCGCACTTATAGAACCAGGTGGAGTCTGCAGAATGACGTAGAAATGCTCGGTACCCCGGGACCCCCGGTCCAGAGCTGGACGGAGCACAGGGTAACCTTGGCGTGAACTCGGGCACGGAATTTCCCCAGGCCTGTGCTGGTCCACTCAGGGGATCTTAATTAGGATGTGCTCAAATACAGCCCGTCCTCTGGGTAAGCATTCCACTTTTCATGTGTGTGTCTGAGGGTGAGGACTGTCTGCCCATTTTCTTAAATAGTGAGCCCTCAAATGCTTTAGGCTGCTCTACCCAACTATATTCGGCTAAATAAAGCCGCGATTATGAGGTATAAAAATCCTAAAGGCCAGTGGAAGAAAACCCAGCTTATTCCAGAGACAGCTCTGGCTTTCAGTGAAGAGCAAGCCTGAATAGCCACTTTGATGGGAAGACAGACCAGAGACCGCTGCTGGGTTCCAAGTGCTGTTTGCAAACCCAGCGTCTTCATAAAGATTTTGCCTATAGAGTTTAGCTACAGATAATGTTTTCCGCATTCCCCTTCCTGAATATCTTTAAACTTTGCTGGGACTATTTTTTTTCCCTCCAAAGAGTTCAAAGACAGAATTCATTGTGGGGGGTGGGGGGAGGGTTGACGGTCCTTCGTGCAGCCAATTTTGTTGAGCAACTGCTGTGTGCTGGAGCTCGTTGTAGAGTGGGGTGTGAAGCAGGCTGGCTGCTGCCCCAGGGAGTCTTCAACTGGTGGGGGAGGGAGGTGGTGGAGAGCGTGTCGTCCAGGAGCCGGACATGAAGGTCCACGAGCTCTGGTAATGATCTTGGGACTCAGGATTAACGTCTCCTCTGGCTTAGATCCCGTCCGTCCTCCTCTTGGGTTCCCCTGGAGCGGTGGTTGTACAGTGATGAGTCAGCCAGTGAAATGGCTGCAGTGTATCCTATCAAAAGGCATCCAGAGATCTCTTGAAGAGATCTTGAAGTCACCCTTCAATTGAATGGCTTGTGTCAACACAAAACGGTTGGTCTGCCCTTCAGAGAAGAGATGTTGTCACCCTTAAGGAGAAATGGAGATAAGGCTCGGAATTGGTGGACATTTGATGGAACTTGAGTCTTAATCCATTGACACAAGAGGCCTGTGAGGGCCCCATCCATTCCTGCTCCTTGAACTCCTTATCAAAGCACATCTGTTGTCTTTTCTCACTGGAGAAGCTTAGAAGGCAGGGGTTTCCAGCTCTGGTCCACGACATCCTTGGCGGGTCCCACAACAGATGTGCACCAGTTCATGTTTGATAAGGGTGCGCAAGCAATACTTTGCTTTGCTTTGGCTGGAGTGTAAGGCTTGGTATCCAAGTGGCCTGATTACAGATCATAGTGACTTTCATGATAAGAACTGATGCTTAATAAATGCAATTTGTTTGGTGAATTAGAATGTTTTGAAACATGAAGGTTGCAGTCATGTTTGGAGAAATAACCATATTTGAGTGGGGAAAAGATTGGGAGCCAGTGAACTAAGTTTTTTTAACCACGAGTTGGATCTTTGGCTCTTTCTAGGTGATGGTTCCAGTGTTACTGGGTTTCAGAACTGCAGTGCAGAGAAAGGTTAAGTGATCTTGACCTTTGGGGGTGGGGAAGGGAGCAGAACGTGCAGGTGGTAAAGGGCAGTGGGTCCAAGACCATCGACATGGGTATTCTTGCACCCCGATGGCACATATCTAGGAAGACCCCTCCCTCAGTGAGAATCCAGCGCAGAGGGACCTCGGGGAGACAGCTGTGGTTTGGGGTCAGAGGATGAGGTGGCTTCCTGAAGCTGCTTCCTTGGGTAGGCAGTGGTGAGTAGGCAGAGATGGGACAAGAAATCATTCAGACCATTCAGGGGTGGGTGCCGGGGCCTTCTAACCTCCGGTCAGCCCAGCTGCTCTTGGGTTCCAAAAGCACAGTGAGCAGAGAGCCATCCATTGCTCTTGGTGGGGAGAATCCCGCCCGGCCAGTTGGCCCTGAAGCGGAACTTTCTCTTTGCTGCTGAAATGACCCTTTGTGAAAGCAAACCTCAAACTAGTTTCGTCTCCAGATGGCTTTTTTACTTCTTCCCAAGTGCATTTCATTTGGATCCCAGCATGTTGCTTTTCTCTCCCCCCTTCACTATTAAGAGACTTATGGCCAGAAACCTGAAACGGACGACATGAATGAGGTGGAAGTGGCCCCCATTCCTGATGAGAAGCACGTCTGGGTCTCACCAAGGGTGATCAAACCCACGAAGCCCAAGAAAGACTCTCCCGTGAACCACATGAGTGAGTGGGGCTCTGCCATGCTGGCCGCCTCTGAAGGGGGCAGTTTTCTTTGGGGTGGATGGAGTAGGGGGGCCAGTGGGTTGAGAGGTCTCCAAGTCGACAAACAGCGGGGACCAGAGTGGGGTGTAGCTTGCAAAAGCACAACTCGAAGATGTTTCTAAAAAATGATATTTTAAAGTCATTTCAAAAGAAGCATTATAGGAGGTGTACTTGGGTGGCCTTTTCCCCCCACGCAGTTATTTTAAGGTTAGACCTTCTCTTGTCCTTTCAAAGAGGACCGGGGCCGAGATTGGGTTCCTGTTGGGGTGCCCCCCTCCCAGAGGAAGAATGAACAGGCAGCGCGGGGCCCGGTTCCCAGGGCCACCATGCGCACGGGTCCTGTGAGTGGGACCTGCCTCTTTGACGCTCCATGAGCTCATCTGTAAAGCAGGAGCCCTGCTGCCTCTTGTTAGCACTGTTTTAGCCCAGAGACACGGGTGTGCGCATTTCCAGTGTCCGCATTCTAGGAGAGGCACTGTGTTCTTGACGGAGAGGAGCTGCAGCAGTCACTAAAGAGGAGGCCGTGAATTCTAGACCTGGGCTGCGTGTTCTCGTCTGTGCCTCCTCGCCCATCTCCTTGCCGGGGCGGCTGCAGCTCGGTCAGGTCGCCGTGGGGGTTTTTTACAGTAACATGGGTCCCCCAGTGTCAGCTGTATTGTGAGGTCATCAGCACAGTGCCTCCAACAGCTCCCTTAAGGCGGGAAGCTGGCTGTTTCCCCAGAGACTTTCGGAGGTCCCCAGATGCCATGTTCTCATGCTCACCTCTGGTCTCCCGAGACCCTTCACCTCCTGGGGCTTGCTTCTCTCTGCCCTCCCCTATCCGGCTCCGATTCCCCCCTTCCCGACCTGGGTCGCCTGTGTATGCGGCACCTTTACTGAAGTTTGGGGGCTCTAGAGGGTATTTTCTTACAGACACGGTACCAGGTGTGGCTTCTCTGCCCGCCAGTGTCTCTGTTTTCCCTCCGAACTATCACCCAGCACACAGCTGGACTCGGGCCTGAGGAGGAGGCCAGCTCACACCCATCTTTCTCAGAAAGCCTTGGCTATTTTGTCAGTTGCCCTCCCGCTAGCGCACACCCAGCAGAAGTCTCTCTCCCCTGGACTCCCGCCTGTTAGTCAGCCTGTGGTTCTCTGTGACCACCAAATACCCTGATGTCCTTGTCTGTCCAGAGGTTCCAAACTCTTTCATTATTATTTTATTTTTCCATAATGTAAAATTACAAAATAATATGTGTCTTTCTGTCAAACTGTAACGTTACTCCAAGATTCTGATATGCCCCTATAAAATAAACCAAAAGAAAGACTTGGCTATGTCCTTGTGGCTGTGGGAGATGACGCTGGGGGGAACGGCTGGGTCCCCGCTTCCTGGGCTGCACGATGCTCGCCCTCAGGGCCCTGTGAGGCTGAGGGGCACTCAGCGTGCCAGGCTGCCTTCTGAGGTTGGTTCACTTTCTCATCAAGGCTCAGAGAAACCCTTGGAGGTGGATACTGTACCCATCTCCGTTAATAAGTGGGATTTGAACCTCAGAGACGGGAAGTAAGTGTCCAAGGTGACAGTGCTCCTAGAAAGAGGAACTGGGATTCAAACCTCCACCCTGCGCCTACAGCCAGTGGGCGACGCTTCTGCTCTCGTTATGATGAGGACTCCAGGGTGTTCCAGAAAGTTCCTCGGGGTGGGGATGGGATCTGCTAACTCAGACTCATCCTCCCATTTCTTGCCTTGACAAGTGTTTCTGCATTTCTCTCCTAGCCCAAGTCGTCAAGTGTGACACCAAGATGAAGGACAAGTGTAAAGGGTCCACGTGCAACAGGTAGGGGCTGGCCCCTCCCTCCCCCACCACCTGCAGCCCTCAGACACACCACTCTGGGCCCGGGGTCCCTTCGTGACCTGTCGGCTGACCTGCTGTGGAAATGCCAGGCGTGCTATCGGCAGGGAGGTCCTGAACGATGTTTTGGTGCAGGTGGACGCTCCCTTCCACCCTCTGCGTGAAGGGGTCCCAGAGGGGCCCAGAGCTCTGGGCTGCGGCAGCGTCAGGGCAGGTGTGGCCATGGCCGGGTCCAGCACGGCTGCTGTGGAGTCCCAGTCATCCTGCTTCCCCAGGGCCCCACCAGACGAGGAGCAGCCAGCATCTCCCCTAGAGTGGAACGAATTAATCTAGCCAATGGAGTCGCTTCATATCATCCATTTCAGATGTTGAAAAACATCTGCCAAGAAGAACAAGCTTGGTTTTGGCAACATAGCCACTGGGCTGCTCCTTCTGGCAGCGAATGGCCAACAGGTGCAGCGGCCACGTGCAGACCCTCAGGTTCACGGCAGGAAAACCATGTCATTGGTGGAGGGGCCCTTGCTCTTCTTCCTATAGGTCCTGGCTTCTGTTCATCTAAAGCTGAATCATGTTATTTAAAGCACATGCTCAAAAGAGAAGGTGTATCATATTACCTGAAAGAGATGGTCCTATTTTACACCACGGGGACGTGGAGTCAAGTTTGTCAGGAGAACGCCCCACGCCTTTGGCGGGAAGGCGGGAGTGTCCTGGGACAGAGAGCAGCTGGGATTAGATGTTCAAGGGGCTCATATGTTGTCCCACCAGGCTTGGTGATGGGCCAGCAAATACCGTGAAAGCAGAACCAGGCAGTTTGGTGGTGAGATGAGCAAGAGGGGGCAGCGAGGGTGGTGGAGTAACCATCTGCCCCCACCTTGCGCGTCGTCGCGGAGGGGTCTCCACCCTGCAGACTCCCGGGTCTGGAGCGCCAGGAAGGCTTCTGAGCTGCCCGTGGCAGTGCCATGTCTTCCCGAACTGCTGACTTGTAATGAGAGCATCCACCTGAATAGTCAGTGGGAAAAGATGACAAGGTTTGGAGAACAGTCGTTGTCAGACAGCATCAAAAGAGTTTCAGGATCGGAGGTAGACGGAGCACGCCCCAGGCACGAAGAAGGCAGGGGTCTGGGCCTCTTAGACGCCTCCTGTCAAGAAGTAGAGCTCAGCCCACGTGTGGCCCCCTGAACTCCCACGGTGCCCTTCCTGGATGCTGTCCCGCCACCTGGCACATCAGTCTTCCGTACATGGCACTTTTGCAAGAAAAATATTTACTGGCGTGTTTTTTCTGACTTTAAAGGATATCCTTTTTCATTGTAATTCAGGAAAACAACCACCAAAGCAAGTATAAAGAAAATAAGTGTCCTAGAATCTCGTTAGTGTCAGTAATAATTTGATGTTGTTCCTTCCAACCTTTGTTCTGTGCTCTGATTAGGCCTATCCTATTGTACAATCTTGTATGTTACTGGTTTCACTTAAGATTTCCAAAGTCAATAACTACTCCTCAAAAACTTCATTCTAGTGGCCGTATAATATGCTGACATTTGGCCACACAGAAATACATTTGGCTATTCCTTTGACACCTGCTGACTTGCTTCCAGTTTTTCCCAGTTATAAATGGTTGGAATAACATGGAGGTCTGACTTTCTGGCTTTTTGCTTGGGAGATTCAAGAATCAAGGGATAGAAATTTAAAATTTTTTTTAAATTGAAGTATAGTTAATTTACAATGTTGTGTTAGTTTCAGATATATAGCAAAGTGATTCAGTTATACATATATTTACTCTTTTTCAGATTCTTTTCCATCATAGGTTATTATAAAATACTGCATATAATACCTATATACAATATGCAGTAGGTCTTTGTTGATTATCTATTTTATATATAGTAGTGTGTATATATTAATTCCAAACTCCTAATTTATCCCTCCCCAACTTCCCCCTTTTGTATTCCTAAATTTTCTATGTCTGTAAGTCTGTTTCTGTTTTATAAATAAGTTCATTTGTATCTTTTTTTAGATTCCACACATAAGTGATATCATATATTTGTCTTCCTCTGACTTCACTTAGAATGGTAATCCATCCATGTTGCTGCAAATGGAATTGTTTTATTTTTATGACTGAGTAATATTACATGGTATATATGTACCATCATTTTTATCCATCTATCTGTTGATGGACCCTTAGGTTACTTTCATGTGAATATTGTGAATATTGCTGGTATGACCATTGGGGTACATGTATCTTTTTGAGTTAGAATTTTTCATCTTTTTGGGATATATGCCCAGGAGTGGGATTGCTGGATCACTTGGTAGTTCTGTTTTTAGGGAACCTCCATCCTGTTCTGCACACTGGCTGCACCAATATGCATTCCCACCAAGAGTGTAGGAGGCTTCCCTTTTTTCCACACCTCTCCAGCATTTGTTATTTGCAAACTTTTTAGTGATGGGTGGTACCTCATTGTGGTTTTAATGTGCATTTTTCTATTAGCAACGTTGAGGATCTTTTTATGTCCCTGTTGGCCATCTGGCTGTCTTTTTTGGATGAATGTCTATTTAGATCTTCTGCTCATTTGGGGGGGCTTTCTGATTGGATTATTTGTTCTTTTTTTTATATTAAGCTGTATGAATTTATATATTTTGGAAATTAATAGCTTGCGGGTCACTTCATTTGCAAATGTTTTCTCCCAGTTTGTAGGTTGTTTTTCTTCATTTTGTTTATGGTTTAAGGGACATGAATCATTAAGGCTTTATGGAAAGATTAATTGGTATTTGTTTGTGAGCATGATCACCATCATTGAATTTTATTCTATTAAAACACCCTTGTAGTTTGACACCTGGAACTTTTAGTCTGCACATCTTTGATGGTTTGTATCTGAGGACTTCTTTGCTGCCTTTGAAGCTGCTCATCTTTCTTCTGGACAAGGCTTTTGTCCATCTGTTCTTAGAAACATCCATGTGACTTGAATCTGAAGCACATGAAAATGGTCTTTAAAGAGGCCAAGTTGAATCTGTAATTGTGGCCAGGTGTCTAAACACTTCAGCCTGGGTAAATTGTGACTTACTCCCAAACAATGTTTGCTAGATCACCAACACTTCTCTATATGTAATAATAGCTGTTGAAGGGGACTAAAAACAATAAATTCATGGCAAGATTTTATCAATGTATTTTGTTCAACTTATGAAAATCATCTTCTTTCTTCCCTATCAGGTACCAGTGCCCAGCAGGCTGCCTGCACAGTGGAGCAAAGATCTTTGGGACTCTCTTTTATGAAAGCGTAAGTATGGCCAGAGCTTCTTTAAATGGCTGGCATGGACTCCTGTCTCTGTGTTAAAAGCAGGTGGCTGGTTTTCAGGTGAACAGATTTTCTTTCTGCTCAGTAGTCAAACCCCTGTCTTTGTAGAGCTGATCCATGCCTATTTCTGGGGTCACAGATTTGTGAAGCCACTTTCGGGAATGGGGGCTGACCCCCGAGCCGACCAGTCTCTATGTTAGCCCCAGCGATAATATGCTCCACTGGAGGGGGAGAAAGGGCTGTTTGTCACTGTTCTTAGTTTGTAAAGCAACGCAGATGAGTTCTTAAAGATAAGCAACTCCAGAAACAAAGACGTGTTATAGAGCGAGGTCGGAGTCAGCAGTGGGGTGAGCCTTGGCCCGGCTTTTTGGCTTTTTGTGGGTTGAGGACAAACATCTTGGGTGTTCCTGGAAATGATTGCTGACAAAGGTGAATTCAGATGTACTTACATTCCGGCCCCGCCCTGCAGGCGTCCAGCATCTGCCGGGCCGCCATTCACTATGGGATCCTGGACGACAGGGGAGGCTTGGTGGACGTCACCAGGAACGGGAAGGTCCCCTTTTTTGTCAAGTCAGAGAGAAACGGCGTGCAGTCTCTGAGGTAAATATTTGGTGATCAGGGCTCCTGAAGACTTCTTTTCTGATTGTGAGAGTATTGTTGAAACCTTGGGAAGTTCTGAACTGTATAACAAAGCGGGAAACAATAAAGATGACAATGCTAGAACTCAGAAATCACCCCTATAGGCCGTTTAGCATATTTTATTTCACTGGGTTTCTGTGTGTATGTTTAATGTATTGAGTTTTTTGTTTGTTTTGAGTTTTTTGTTTGCTTGTTTTTGTAGCTTTTAGGAAAGTTTATTCCATATTTGAAAGTTAATACTATTCTTAACTATGAAATGTACATATAGCCATTAAGATATAGAAAAACAAATAAGGAAATATTGACCCCTTCTTTCCCACTTGCTCGAGATAGTCTAGGTACACAACCTTCAAAAGCATACAGTCTTGCAGTCTGACGTGAGTTCTGAATCCTCTTTTTTCTCCCTTCCTTGTCACTGAGACCTTTTCAGACACCTCAGTAATGACTGATGGTATCTTTGAGTTTGCAGGCTAATTCTTCACTGGCATTCCCTACATACCCCCCTACCCTGAGAATGAAGCTTTTCATTTTTTAAATATACCTACTTGTGTTTGCAAGATGCTTTTCACATAAGGTATGTGGATGAATCACAGGGCAGACCATCCTTGCCATCCTGACTCTGGGGGATGGAGGGGGCATGAAGACCAGCAGGAGGCCATGTCTTGGTCTGTCCATGGCATCTAGGCATAATGTGACCAGGAGCAGGTGGAACCCACTGCAGGCCCTGGGGTCAAACGGACCCAGCTCTGCCTGCTCTGTCTGTGACCTGGGCTGGCTTCTTCATCCCTTCCGGCTGGCAGTGCCCTGATATTTAAATGGGGGCCATGGTAGGACCTGAGGCTGACACCTGGCTGACACCCACCACAGGGCGGCGTGTCAGGGACCCCTGTCAGCGCCCACCCCAGGGTCTGTGGCAGGAAGGAGCTCAGCAGACACTTCTGTGGTTGTTACAAGATGGTATGTCCGTGTCTGTTCTAAACTGTGAGGCCACTCAGAACATTTCAGAAACTATGTGAGTCATTCTGCTTGGAAAGGCCTGGTTCTTCATCTTGAGGCAGTGTTGCAATATTCCTTGTTCTGTCTTAGCTGGGGATTTGGGGGTTATGTAAACAAAACAAAACAAAAAAGAGCAAGGAAGTTTAAACGAAAACCAAGAAAATACTCAGAGAGATTGGTTGGGTGACCTCTACACTAGCCTTGATGGAGCTCAACCTCAGCCCCGGTGGAACTGTGGGCTTGGCTGAGGGTTTGGGCCTGTATTGCCCAGGATGCCTGTCCTGAAGCCCCTTCTGGTCCCTGCCAGTGGCCAGCTTTGCGTCTAGAGTGAGGCTCTTCGCGTCTTAGAATTCAGGGAGTCTGTGAACGCAAGGCAGATGAAAGCTTTAGTTTCACTGACCTCTAATTGAAATGTAATATTGTCTTCCTTTATGGATATTTAGCCCCACATCTAGCTAGCACTGCTAGAAGTCCACTTGCTGGAGACATCTTGAAACATTCTCTGCCATCATGGTCCCTCAATGACAGAAGTTAGAAAAGCTGCCTCTTGATTCTGGTTTTAATGCATTAATGAAGATGCACAGCCATTAGACTAACACAAATTTGTTTTCATACTTTGATAATGATATTAATAATACATGACTTCCTTTTAATCTTTTAAATGTATCATATGCATTTAAAAAGCATTGTTCTGAGGAGGCGTCCAAAGGCTTTAGCAGGCCTCTAGAGGGATCCTTGGCACAAAAGAAGGTTAACGAGCCCTGTTCTAGAATGTTCTCAGTCTAGACCTTGCTCGGGAACATGCTAAGGGCTTTCGGGGTGATTGGAAACAAGTAGGAAGGTATGAAATTGAGGCTGAAATAAACTAAGTACAGTAGCAAGGGTGCATGTTTAGAAGCAGTTCTGTTTTGCATTCACCTAATGTTTCCTTTCACAGCAAATACAAGGCTTCCAGCTCATTTACGGTGTCAAAAGTAAAAGGTAAGGTGGACCATCTTCTCTTAAATGACCACAATCCACAGGTTACCCTGGAATTTTGTTCCCCTTAGTTACTGATTTAATGGTTATCATACCTGTTGATACTGCTTTTCTCAGCATTGCCACAATATTGAAGAGGTTCCTGAGGATTCTTTAGCTAGTTTCTAAACATATCTGAACGTGGCATTGGCCCTAGATGGCTGAGGCTGGAACACATACCCAAGTTCCCAGCTGACTGTCATAGAAAGACTATTGCCTGGGTCTAGAGTAGCTAACAGGCTATGTAGGCAGTGTTGGTCTCTACTGAGAGGTAGTGGCTACCTGGAGCATTGTGTTGAGAAGGATTCTGAGGCCCAGTTCTGTGCTCAGCAGAAAACGGAGCTGGAGAGGTTTGTCGTGTCTGCCACAGAGGAGGGAGTGAAACCTGGGGAAGGACATGGCCAATGTTTGCCGTATCTCGTCCAGCTAGGTACATGACCTGTGGCTTGTTCCTTTGGCAGGGCGGCATGTGCCCATGGGAGAGCAGGCTGTAATCAGAATCAGGGTTGGGTTTATAGTTGCCCAGACCAGGCACTTGACTGGAGGGTCTCAGGCAGGCAGGGGTGCATAGGCACACTACAAACATTGCCTCTCCACCCCGGGAAACTTCCCACCCAGCCGTTCTTCCTTTGGGAAAGCCATGCTTGTCATTTGCCCTGGATACCAGACATGTTGTTGTTCATTCGCTTAGTCGTGTCCGACTCTTTGTGACCCCATGGATTGCAGCATGCTAGGCCTCCCTGGCCTCCACCGTCTCCTGGAGTTTACTCAAACGCATATCCACTGAGTTGATGATGCCATCCAATCATTTCATGCTCTCTCATCCCCTTCTCCTCCTGGACACCTGACTACCTGGTTAGATATCTTTATAGAAACATGTAGCAGCGTTTTACCGTATTACAAAATTAATACCTATTTATTCCAGATAATTTAAAAATATGGAGAATCAGTAGGGAAAAAAGAAAAAAGAAGACCTAAATTCGACCACTCAGAGATAACTACTCTGAACATTTTGGTGGATTTCTATAGAGTTTATTTTCCCTCTGCACTGAGTATATACATTGGTAATATGTAATTGACATGTTTTTAAAAATTGAAATTGGTAGCCTGACTTTCTTTTCAAATAATAATATACCAAGAATATACTTCTATACCTTTAAGTGGACTTCTGAACCTAATTTTAATGGTCTCCCCAGCATCCCATTGTATAATAGACCCTTGTTGGACCTCTGCATAGACCCCTGCCCATCTAAATGATAGGCTCTGCTAGAGGTGGGCAAACTACAACCTTCAAGGCCAAATCCTGCCTGCCATCTGTTTTGTAAATAAAGTTTTATTGGCATGGAGCCGTGCCCATTCATTTTTGTGTTGCCTAAGAATGGTTTTTCAACAGTATGTGAACCGTGAACTTCCAGATGTTCAAGCTGGTTATAGAAAAGGCAGAGGAACCAGAGATCAAATTGCCAGCATCTGTTGGATTATCGAAAAAGCAAGAGAGTTCCAGAAAAACATCTATTTCTGCTTTATTGACTATGCCAAAGCCTTTGACTGTGTGGATCACCACAAACTGTGGAAAATTCTGAAAGAGATGGGAATACCAGATCACCTGACCTGCCTCTTGAGAAATCTGTATGCAGGTCAGGAAGCAACAGTTAGAACTGGACATGGAACAGACTGGTTCCAAATAGAAAAGGGAGTACGTCAAAGCTGTATATTGTCACCCTGCTTATTTAACTTCTATGCTGAGTACATCATGAGAAATGCTGTACTGGATAAAGCACAAGCTGGAATCAAAATTGCTGGGAGAAATCTCAATAACCTCAGATATGCAGATGACACCACACTTAAGGCAGAAAGTGAAGAAGAACTAAAGAGCCTCTTGATGAAATTGAAAGAGGAAAGTGGAAAAAGTTGGCTTAAAGCTCAACATTCAGAAAACTAAGATCATGGCATCTGGTCCCATCACTTTATGGCAAATAGATGGGGAAACAATGGAAACAGTGGCAGACTTTATTTTGGGGGGCTCCAAAATCACTGCAGATGGTGACTGCAGCCATGAAATTAAAAGATGCTTACTCCTTGGAAGAAAAGTTATGTCCAACTTAGATAGCATATTAAAAAGCAGAGACATTACTTTGCCAACAAAGGTCTGTCTAGTCAAAGCTATGGTTTTTCCAGTAGTCGTGTATAAATGTAAGAGTTGGACTATAAACAAAGCTGAGCACCGAAGAACTGATGCTTTTGACCTGTGGTGTTGGAGAAGACTCTTGAGAGTCCCTTGGACTGCAAGGAGATCCAACCAGTCCATCCTAAAGGAAATCAGTCCTGAATGTTCATTGGAAGGACTGATGCTGTAGCTGAAACTCCAATACTTTGGTCACCTTTTGCGAAGAACCGACTCATTGGAAAAGACCCTGATGCTGGGAAAGACTGAAGGTGGTAGGAGAAGGGGACAACAAAGGATGACATCACCAACTCAACGGACATGAGTTTGAGTAAACTAAGGGAGTTGGTGATGGACAGGGAGGCCTGGCAAACTGCAGTCCACGGGGTCGCAAAGAGTCGGACATGACTGAGCAACTGAACTGAACTGACCTGAACTGATGGCTGGTTTCTGCTACAATAGCAGAGTAGAGTGGTTATAACACAGACCATAGGGACCTGGAGATGTTTACTCTGACTCTTTAAGAAACAGTTTGCTGAGGCCTGGACTAAACAAGGACAGGCTGTTAGAGACCACAGGTATTCAGTATTAAAAGTGCTTCCTTAGACACAGCATTTGACCTTGAAGGAGTCACTCACCCCTCGGGAAGGGCTTGAGCAATGAGCTGAGGCTGGAAGTCAAAAACCAGACCTCCAGCCTGTCCTGTGCAGCCTCAGGGGGTCTCTTAGCTCTTTTGGACCTCAGTTTCCCCATATACATAATTAGAACAATACCTTCCACGAGGATCCAGCATGATAAGGTAGAGGTAAAGACTTCAAAGTGGAAAAGCACAATGCTGGCCCCACAGGGAAACTGGTAAGGGTGATGACCTTTGACCCGTAGACATATTTGGGCTGTGGGGTTTGTCTCATCCCTTGAGTGAACTGGGGGAGGAGTCGGGAGCACTGAGGCCTGGTACCGGCTGGGTTCCCCTCCCAGCTCTTATCTGAGTTCAGGGGCCCAAGTAGCCCCCAGGACCCATTGTCCAGCAGCCCCTTTCATAGTCTGGAAGCCTGAGGCTCAGGCCCACCTATGACCTGTTGTTCCCATTCACAGTGCAAGACCTGGACTGCTATACCACTGTGGCCCAGCTCTGCCCATATGAGAAGCCGGGGACCCACTGCCCAAGGTAAGGCTCCCTGGCATCTGGATTTGCAAACATGGGGGCTGAGAGAAAAAGGGCCAGGCTGGGTTGTGGGGTGGGTGGGGTGGTCACCGCATGCAGCCACGCATGGCTGAGTTCTAGACATGGCCCTGGCATATGTCCACACAGGAAGTCATTTGCTTTGTGGTCTGAGTCAAGGACCCACCCACCTTCCTGAGACCACTCATTCTCAGCCCTGGCTGCACACTGGACTTGCTGCAGAGGCATTAAAAGGACGAATCGCCATCTCCAAGGGTAGCCCAGGAGGGCGTCGCATCTTTAGAAGCTTCTCCGTGAGCCCCTTGTGTAGCCAAGCTCCTGGGGCCTTCCGTGAGGAACTTAACTGAGAAGATGATTTTGCCCCGCTCACTGTTGCATCCACTAACAGGAGAGAGTGTCTGCTTAGTTGCTCAGCCCTATCTGACTCTTTGTGACCCCATAGACTGTAGCCCGCCAGGCTCTTGTGTCCGTGGGATTCTCTAGGCAAGAGTACTAGAGTGGGTTGCCGTGTCATCCTCCAGGAGATTCTTCCCAACCCAAGGATCAAACCCAGGTCTCCCACTTTGCGGACGGATTCTTTACCGTCTGAGCCAGCAGAGAAGCAGAGGAGAGTATTTGACTTCATTTGCCGCCAAGCTCTTCCCAGGCCCCAAGACAGACCCCAGGGCCTGTCGCTCTTGGACCCGTAGACCAGCTGAGAACTCTGGAAGCTGGGTGCCGCTGTCCCCTTGGAATCTGCTCTTTGATTCTTGTGTTTGATCTGTGATGCTTTCTGTGGGTCACTTTAGAACGAGCTTGTTAAAATCCAGCTTTTCGGAGGTAAAACTTATACACAGTGAAATCCACCAGTAATGAGTATATAGTTGGGTGTGTTTTGACCAGTGTATACCACAGTCCTGACAGAGGACGTTTTCATCACCCCAGCAGGTTCCCTTGTAGTCCGTTTCCCTCCCTCTCTCTCTCCTGTATCCCTGCCAGCCCCTGATCCGCTTCCTGTCCCTATAGTCGTGCCTTTTCTGGACTCTCACGTACATGGGGCCATCACAGCAGAGACTTGTGTGTCTGGCTTCTTTGACTCCGCACAGTGCTTTGCAGTTCATCTGTCCTACAGCCAATGTGATTTGTTTCTTCTTTCACGTTGCCGAGTGGTGTTCCACTCTGCGGGTGTACTGCAGTTTGTCTAAGGACTGAGTTTTACGTGCATCTGCCTAAACCTTACTTGGCTGGTTTTTGGAAGATGGTGTGTCATAACTAAAGAAGGGTGCCTCTGAAGTACCTATTAGACCCTCTCAGAAGCTGTGGGATGTAGTGTCTCCCTGAGCGCTTCTGGGCCTGGATGCGTGTGGGTTCTCCAAGGGAAAGACTGACCTTAAAACCAACAGGTGAGGGTCTTCGCTGGTGCTCCAGTGGTTAGGACTCCTGCTTCCATGGCAGGGATGCAGGTCTGATCCCTTGTTGGAGAACCAAGATTTTGCATGCTGGGAGCAGCAGCCCCCCAAAACCTAACAGGCAGAGACCCCCCGAGGATGAGCAGGAGGAACCCCGGGAGGGTGCTGATGAGGGAGAGGGGACTGGACTGGGCCCCGGACTCCTCCCCTTGGCTACTCACGTTCCCCTTGGGGCTTTCTCACTGCCCACTGCCACCTCCACAACCATGCTGACCCGCCTTGAGTGTTCAAGGGAAAACATCCCTTTAATGTTTTCCCACATGTTACAGAGAAGCAGAAGGAAGTAATTTAAGAAAGTACAAACAAGAAGAAAAAACTTGACATACTACAAGTATCCAAAATGTTTCTGACCTCTCATTCCAGAAGCAGGAAAGTACATTCTTACCCCAATTCTCTTTTTTTTTCTGTTTAAATCTCAGACACATCCTCGTTCTCTCTGCCCATCCTGCTCCTTCGCCCCAGAGGACCCTTTCCACTTCCGGGTTGCTCTGCCTGGCTCTCTCCCCCTTCAGCATCCTGCCTGTCTCTGGGCCAGAGGGCTTCCGGCCGCCTTTGTGGTTTCTTGGTCCCTGGGCTCCAGCCCACGTGTGCCTGTTCCAAATGAAGACAAAAGACCTTTTCTTAAATCAAGCTTGTACTTTCTTGGTTTGAGAGGCTCCGGTTTGAGGCACTCTCCTCATCCCCTGTGGCAGGGATGTGGTGACGGACACAGCAGTGAGCAAACCCTTCCTGCCCCAGGTTATCAGTGTTCCCTCCCTGGAATATTCTGTGACTCACAGAGGTGAGCGCCCCCACCCTTTCCTCCTCCACAACAGGGACGTGGCCTTAAAAAAAAAAATCTATTGATTATAATCTCTATAAAGTACCCACAGTGTGAACCAGCCAACACCCAAGAATTGGAGGTACAACCCCTTACAATTCCAGACTCACCTCCATGAGATTTTTGTTTCATTTCACCTCGTTGTTTGTGCATGTCTTTTAATATGAAGAGCTTTTTCTCTAAAAAAAATTTTATTGCAGTATAGTTATTTACAACGTCGTGTTAGTTTCAGATGTACAACAAAGTGAATCAGTTATATATGAATCTATTGCTGTTCAGTTGTGTTTGACTCTCCGTGACTCCATGGACTGCAACATGCCAAGCTTCCCTGTCCTTCACCATCTTCCGGAGTTTGCTCAAACCCATGTCCATTGAGTTGGTGATGCCATCCACCCACCTCGTCCTCTGTCACCCCCTTCTCCTCCTGCCCTCAATCTTTCCATCTACTTCCACTCTTTTAGGTTCTTTTTCCTTATAGTCATTACAGAAAATTGAATATACTTCCTCGTGCTATACAATAATATAGAGTAGGATCTTACAGTAGGTCTATTTTATATATAGTAGTGTATATATGTCAATAAAATTCTACATGCATTTTTAAGAAAAGGAAAAATATCTTTTATCACTGCTAGGGTGAGAGAGGTATATATGTATTTTTTCTTAAAGAGTAGGCTGTGGTAATAATTGCCTTTCATCTAAGTACTAAATCTTGATGAGCAAATAAAGAGGGCCAGCTGCTTTTCTCAAGAAGTTTTGTTTTCTGCTGCTGATAACCATTCCCTAAACGCTTCTTGTTTTCCAGAGTTCGCTGTCCAGCGCACTGCAAAGACGAGCCATCCTATTGGGCTCCCGTGTTTGGAAGCAACATCTATGCCGACGTGAGTATTCTGGCCTTATCGGTGACTGCCCCACAGAAACCATGTTCCAGGGTCTGGACGTCAGAAACTTAAAATCTCATTCCTGTGCCTCTAGATAAATTTATACCATTCATTTCTGCTACCAGTGCTCTAGTTTCTACATTTTCAGAAGTATTTGTGCTTCCACCAATGTGTGCTAATGAACACAGACATGGGTGTACCTCCTCTTGCCCAGACATCTTCAGAGTTTGGTGAACTGAATCCTGCTCCCTCACTGACAAGCTTTTCTCATGTGAAAGCTGCCATGCATCACATACTGCCTTCCCCCAGACACTTAACAACCTTTCTGGCTCTCCTGATGCTTGTATAGCTGTTGGTCTTCTCCACTCATTGCATTTCTTTTTGGCTGTGTACATACACTGAACTAAAAGCACATAAAAGCACTAAAAGTACAGACTCCACCAGTGCACTACTTGTTAACAACCGCTCTTAATCATATTGCATTTTTCCATCCTCACTTTAGCAAGGGAACTTTAGCTTGGTTGTTTTTTAAATTTTACTGACGTATAGTTGACTTACAGAGTTGTGTTCATTTCCACTGTACAGAAAAGTGACTCAGTTACACACACATTCTTTTTCATGCTCTTTTCCATTCTGGTTTGTCACAGGATGGTGAATACGGCTCTCTGTGCTCCACAGTAGGCCCGTGCTGTTCGTCCATCCTACAGATAAGAGTTTGCAGATATGGTTCCTACAGAACAAGGTCTCTTCCTCCTGTGGTCCAGGGTTTAGGGACATGGTGACTCAGGAGGTGTGAATACGGCCACAGCTCTGCCCAGCCGGCTGTGTGGTCTTCTTGACCAAGCCATTCACCTCTCTGTAGAATGAGCCAGGGCTGGGGTTTTCTAATTCAGGGAATCCTCTAGATCTGAAAGTCCATGAGTAGATCAGCTTCACTCAATCCCAGCTAATGTTTTTACTCAGCTTTTCCTCATCTTCATTTCCATAGTTCTCCTGCATCCACTATCACCACCCCCGCCTTTGCCTCCGTCTGCCTTCATTTATTCTGGACTCCTGTAATGTGAGCTCACTGAGTTCTGTAAAGTCAAAGCAACCTTCATGACTGACCTTCCCCCACCCCTCATCTTTTTTTCCTCTCCTCTTTAAATGAGCCTTTTTATTTTTCTCCTTAAAAGGTGCTTAGCCAAAATGGAGCTCTAAAAGTTTAATGAAGGGATAAAACAATGTGAATCAATTGTTATACCAAATATTTAAGCCAAAACCTGCAACTGAAAGACAGAGTCTTTGATTTTCAAGTGCTTTAAATATAAAAGGACAAGGAAGATGATTCTAGTAAAGTATAAAAAGACAAATAGATAAAGCAGGAGTGGCAATATTGCTAGCTGATAAAGTGGAATTTAAACATACTGAATGGGACGAGACAATTCATTATGCAATGGCACAAAAGGTACAATTTATGTAGATGTGAAAATCAAGTCCATATGCTCCAAACAGTGTAGCAGCTAAACATATAAAGCAAAAGAAAAAAAAAAGTTTAGAAATGCAAGAACTTGGTGAAATTTTAGTAATAATATAAGGCTACATTTTACTTTGTTTTAGGTTCTTAAAAACATCATCACTAGGTATTGTTACTCCCATCTTACAGAGACAGACAGGGAGGCTCAGAATAACCTACCACAGATCATGCCGCTGGCAGTGGCGAAGGCGAAATGCAGTTGAGGGCGTGTCTTGCCTTTGGGTCTGTTCTGCCTGCATGAATGTTGCTGCACTTCTGAATACACAGGTGTGAACAGGCCTGTTTGTGAAAACCTGTATTCAGTCTCTAACTAAGTTATTCACTAGGATTTTTAGCTTTTGACAACACTGTGCTGGTGCCCATGACAGGGCTTGGTATATAATAATTGTTCGATTAATGTTTGTTAAAAGAATAAGTAGATAAAAATACTGCAGTTGTTAATGCCTAAACATCTCTTGAGAAAATTTTAAAAAAAAAAATAAAAGAAAAGGAAGGAAGGGAAAAAGAAAGAGAAAACTACCTCCGTTTCAGAGGCTCTTTTCTGGCCTCGGTTTCTAGGTCACTCTGTATTCTGGGAAATGATGATGCCCCTGGAAAATGTCTGTTTAGCTAAGAGATTTATTTTGGGAGAGTTGTCTCCAGGCCTTCGAAGGGCCCAATAGTGCCTCCCCTAGCGTGCGTTACTTGGCAGACCCCGCACTTTGTGGTGAGCTGCAGGCAGAAGGAGCACCAGGCTGTAGCCTGTGAACCACGTCTGGGTCAGAAGATGCAAAAAACTCAAGCCCCAGCTGTGACACTTAACAGTCCTGGGATGGTGAACGAGCCTTGCCCTGCTCTGAGCCTCAGTTTTCTTATCTGTCCCATCTCCCTCTGTGGCTCTTTGAGTTCTCACACCCGAGCATGCACCAGAATCCCCAGAGGGCTTGTCCAGACAGAGTTCCGGGTCCCACCCCCACCGCGTTTCAGGCTCAGGGAGTCTGGGGCAGAGCCAGGGGATCTGCATTTCTAGCAAGTTCCCTGGTGGTGCTGATGCTGCTGGTCTGAGACGGCACTTCAAGGACCCCTGGGTTGAAGATGACAGTCCTGTGGGAATTTTCAATAATGGTGATGGTTAGAGCAATGATTATGGTGATGTTTGTCTTGTTAACCGACATCTGTTGAGCACTTACTGCGTGCAGGCCTGCATTTAGCCTTTGATCTTTACATAATTGCCTCGATAGCCCCTCTCAGGGTCTTATTGACCCCTGTGAAGTAGTGTGCAGCTTGCCAGCTCTGAGCAACAGTCCTGGCTCTGCTGTTTGCCAGCCCAGTGATTTGGGGCAAGTCTTTAAACCCCTGTTAAGAGGGAATAATAGTGGTGGTGATGATGATGACCATAATAATAATGATGATGATGATAATACTGTGTAGGTTACTGGGAGTTACTGTATCAATCACTTGAAACAGTCAGAACTCAGCCGGTAGTGATAACTGCTCAGAAAGATTACCTATGATGATCCCTGCTTTATGTTGAGAAGATAGAGCCTCTGAGGGTTAAAATAGGTCATCCAAGGCCACACAGCCAACCAGTGGTGGGGGCAGGGGTGCTGAGACCAGATCTCTGTTGATAGTGCTTGTGAATAAGTATCCAGATACTGGTGTTGCCAATATGTGGTGTTGGAGAAGACTCTTGAGAGTCCCTTGGACAGGAAGGAGATCAACCCAGTCCATCCTAAAGGAAATCAACCCTGAATATTCATTGGAAGGACTGATGCTGAAGCTGAAGCTCCAATATTTTGGCCACCTGATGAGAAGAGTCAACTCATTGGAAAAGACCTTGATTTGCTGGGAAACATTGAGGGCAGGAGGAGAAGCGGACAACAGAGGAGGAGATGGTTGGATGGCATCACTGACTCAATGAACATGAGTTTGAGCAAGCTCCGGGAGATGGTGAAGGACAGGGAAGCCTGGTGTGCTGCAGTCCGTGGGGTCGCAGAGTCAGACACAACTGAGCGACTGAACAACAACAAAGTCAGCGTTGCCTCAGGTCTTGAGGAGAGAAAGCAGATACCTTGTACCTTTGGGGAAGCAGAGGTGAGAGGAGACGTGTGGGAGGAGGAAGCGGGAGGAGAGTGTTTGTCCGCCATCAGCAGTGGAAGGCGTATGCGGTGATCACCGGCCCATGCAGCGAGGAGGAGGAGGCCCTGGGTGTGAGGGTCCCATGCCTGCGGCCTGCTGTTATCGTGGGAACTTCTGTACCACTGGTGCCCAGATACCCTCGGGGGACGGGGCAGAGGGCCATCACAGAGGCCCCAACACCGGAGCACCCGGCCTCTTGGCAGCTGTGGTCAGAGGATGTGCCTCCTGGGCAGGCCCTGGGTCTGGTCACTCACAGAGCGTGAGCAATGCGAGAGGGAGATGGAAGAACCCCCAGCCACCCACCAGGCAGACAGTGAGCCCCAGCTCAGGCCTTCAAACAGCAAACGTAGGAGGATTCCACAACGATGGTTTCCTTCGCAGTCTCCTGCCTCTCTCTGAGAGGGGGCAGACTTACTGCTTGTTAATCTTCTAGGGACACAAAGAGAACTGGAAAGTTGTGGATCCTTCCTCCGAGGAGGTGAGGGTGGAGAATGCTTCTTTGTATTGATAAAGTTGACCAACCATCCCAGTTTGTCTGGGATGCTGAGTTTCCCAGGCTCAGTGCTAAAACCTCGAAAGTTCTGGCCAACCTTCTAGGCCCACAGAGTTCTGCCTGCAGCCTCAGGGCCTCGCAGATGCCCTGGAGCCTGCTTTGGGCTAAGGAATCCGGCCCTCATCTGTATGAACTGAAGACAAGATATGTTCATGCGGGATTAGAAAAACTGGCCTTCAGCTCCTCACATCAGTCAGTGGTGAGAAGCAAGAAATCCAGTTCTCCCATCTTTAGTGGGACGGTGCCTGTCGGCTCTGAGACTCTCCAGCTTTTAACAGCAATATTAACTTCCCAGGGAGCGGGCAGGGCGGGGCCTTCTACTGTGAGTGTTTTTTCCTTCTGCAAAACCAGCAGCTTGTCTGGAATGGCCTGGATTTGGAAGGGATGTGGCAGGAATTAGCAGTCTGCAGGGCTGTTGGGTCTTTCTCTCTGCCTCTGACCGTCCAGTCTCCCTCTTGCAAGGACCCTTGGAATTCTGCTGGACCCACTGGGGTAATACAGGACCCTCTCATCTCGAGGTCCCTACCTTCGTCACATCTTCAGAGGCCTTGTGCTGTGCCACGTCACGTGCCCACATGTTCCAGGGACGGGGGTGGACGTCTTCAGTGGGCAGTTCTGTTATTCTGCTGACCACAGAGGCACAGCCTTGACCTTTAACCTGATCTTGTTTGGAATGGCTACTAAACCAAGAAGTGTCTTCAGGGCCTTGGCAATGTTGTCCAATCTCACTGAGCCTGTGTTTCTGGCCTATAAAATGGGAATAATGTAGTCACCCATCTCACTGGAAGATGAAATGAGATGACAAGCAAAAAGCAGCCCAGGGCTGGTATTCAATAAGCTCAGTCGACATTAGCTCTGCTCACCGTGACGGAGGCTGTTCACTCCACAGCTGGGTTAGCTCCTCTTATGTCTGCAGCCCTGGCTGCACCTGACAAACACTCAGCCTCAGGCTTCACCCCAGAGCAGCTGAATCTGTGGGGTCGAGGGGGAGGAGGGGGGATAGGAAGGGCATCACCAGGTAAAGATGCCGCAGCTGCAGTGAGGGTGGAGGCTCGCTGCCAAGGCCGGTGTCAGAGTCCAGCACAGGCCAGACGAAGGACTGCAGAAGAGGCAGGAGGGTGTTACCTTGAGCCGGCCTCACCTGAGGGGTGGTTCCGAGTCCGTAGGTACATCAGGGTGAGGTCCAAGCGCTGGCCTCCCAGCCCTGAATGAGTCTCCCCAGCTTTGAGAAACATTGACTAATTACTTTCAGACACCCAGTCTAAGGAGCATTTTTCTACTGCACAAGTCAAGACCCTGATGGAAGTTGAACCCGATGATTGTCTTACCCAGGGCTTGGATGACTCGAAGACTAGAAAACAGCATCTCCTGCCCTTGCTTGAGACACAGTGGCTCGTGTGGCACCTGGAGTGAACCCAGATGCCCCCATGGCCTTCATGGCCCCGAGTGACTGGCCCCTGCTCACCTCCTCCCCCCTCTCCTGCCGCTTTCTGCCTGACTCACTGTGTTCCAGCCGCCCTGGCCCTTCTTTCTATTCTTTGGATATGACAAGTTCACTGCACCCCAGGGCCTTTGCACAGGCTTTCCCTCTGCCTGGGACACTCCTCCCAGAGATGTTGCCATGTCTGTGGGAGTCTGCCCGTATTAACTGTTCTAAAACAGCCCCTTAATCTTATCTCATGATCAGGTTTTGTTTTCTTCATGACGTGAGTTCCTCATTTGTGTATTTGTCTGTCTGTCTTGACTCCATGAAGGTAGAACCTTTATTTTGTTTCCCCCGAATCCTCTTGCATCTAGTACAGTGCCTGGCACATAGTAGGTGTTCAGAAAATATTGTCAAAAAATGAACAAATGAATGAGGGATGAGGCCAGGTCTCCCTGGAGAGACCGCTGAGGAATCGAGGTAGTGATGGTTACTTCCTAGGGCTTGGTGGGGTCAACATCCTACCAACCAGCAAGCCACGTCACGGTTGACCCCATCAGGGTGTGACTGAGGGCCTAACCTTGACACTAATCACAGCCCTTCCCTTCTGCACTTTCAGACTTCCAGCATCTGTAAGACTGCTGTGCACGCGGGGGTCATCCGGAATGAGAGTGGGGGCTACGTGGACGTGATGCCCGTGGATAAAAAGAAGACCTATGTGGGCTCGCTCAGGAATGGAGTCCAGTCTGAAAGGTAGGGCTGCTTTCTCAGACACTCAACACCCAGGGCCTGTTGGGGTCGTTGGAGGAGGGCCACGGTGAGCGCCCTTTAAGATAAAGATTGGGCAGACCTGGCACATGTTCTCAGTAGAACACCCAGGACAAGCCTGTCCTTCTCTTCTCTCTTCATTTCTTTTTTCAAAAGGAGAGCTTGTTTCTATGCCCAGCGCATGTTTTTGTAGACAATTTAGAGGTGTCAGATAAGCCCCAAGGAAAACCATCACCCATTACCTCTCGCCTGGGGGAGTTAGGGATCTTTGGTGTGTATTCCTCTGGTCCTTTTTCTCTATGTATATGTGCATGGCTCCCCCAAGCCCCTCCCCCCAAAAGACAAAGGGATAAAGTTATAGTCACACAGCGGTGCTCTAGCTTTGTCAGAATATAGCTGCATTTTGTTACCCAACTAAGAGCCGAGTCTGGAGTGCAGCAGACCTAGGCTCTGCTTCTTCCCAACTTTGTGACCTGGAGCCAGTCGCCTGGTTTCTCGAGCCTCCGCTTTCTGGCCTGGAACGTGGGGAGAACTACAGTCCCCACCTCTGGAGGTATTGCAAAGCTGACGGAGGTGTTGCCTAGCTCTTCTGGCCCGGACACCAGCCACATTGGACTGGGGCCCACGCTGATGACCGCATCTTACTTTAATCACCTCTTTGAAGTCCCCTTCTCCAAGTACAGTCACATTCCGAGGGCACCGGGGATTTAGGAGGTCAACATGTGAACTTGAGGGTGGGGGCGCACAAGCCAGCCAGCCCATACCAGGGGAAATGATAAAGATTTTATACTTGGGGACTGCTTTAGAAAAGGAATATAAAGTGAAGGGTACAAACTGTGCCAGGCCCCATGAAGCCCGGGCTGTCGTGGCTCCCTGGCACTCCGCCGCTGTCTGCACCCTCCCAGCCTCCTGGGGCACTGCAAGGCCGGACCCTGCAGAATCAAGTGACGGGGATCCCGGTGGGGGGTAGGGGTTCGCAGGATGTGCTCGGTCATGGCCATTAGCCCCGAACACCCGGAGTTAGTGGCTTCTGCATTTCCTCCTTCAAAACCTGCAACCTCTGTGTGGGAGAAGCTTAATGAAGGGAAATTCCATTGATTTAATGGGAGGGAAATGAAGCAGCTGATTAGGTGGAATTTCCTGGTGGGGCTGGAAAGAAATCCCAGGACACCCATCTCTTGAGTTCACTGTGTCCCTTTGAGAGAGAAAACGCCTCGGTAAGAAGCTGACAGGCTGGCCTTCTTATCATTGAGAGGACCCCAGCAGCTCCACCCCTGCCCTAGGCTGGGACATAGCGGGGTCTCTAGGGAGGACTGGGGACTGACAGAATGTCCCCCAAAGTGCCTTCTTCCCCACTGTTAACTGCCCCCCTCCATCTGTAGTTTTCTTTGGCCAAAGGACCCGACTGAAATGCTGTCATTATAATTGCCCCTTGACATTCATGGCGCCTTGGTTCCAGGATCCCCCAAGGATACCCAAGTCTGAGGATGCTCAAGTCCTTATTGTTGTTGTGGTCGTTTAGTCGTTCAGTCATGTCTGACTCTTGTGACCCGATCGACTGTAGCGTGCCAGGCTCTCCTGTCCATGGGATCTCCCAGGCAAGAATACTGGAGTGGGTTGCCATTTCCCTCTCCAGGTGATCTTCCCGACTCAGGGATTGAACCCACGTCTCCCACATTGGCAGGCAGATTCTTTACCTCTGAGCCACCAGGGAAGCCCCCAAGTCCTTATACACAATGACAAAGAATAGGAGGCCGTCCACATCCACGGACTCCACAGCCACGGGTGGACGTGGAGTGGATACAGAGGGCTGACTCTGTCTTGTGGGCAGCCTTCCCCAGGCCCCACAGTGGTTGATGCGCCCTGCACTACTCAGACAGGTTCTACTTAGCCAACAGTCTGCTTGGGCTCTTTCCTCCTGAGTAGGTTGTGCAGGCTGAATTCTGTGATCAGCTGAAATCTGTGGTGAGCTTCCTGACCTGTAGAGGGAAAATGATAGCACCCACCCCCAGTGTTGGGGGATACAGTGGGTCTCCAAGTGGGTTCCCCAGAGCAGCATCCAAATTGATGGGGAGTTTGCTAGAGAAGCACATTCTCTGGCCAACCCGAGACAGACACTTGGGGAGTGTGGATCTGCCCTCGGGGGCCCTGACGCCTGCTGGAAGGTGACCGCTGCTGCAGAGGGGGTGATGCAGGGTGACCGTGTCCTGGTCACAGAGTCGTACTGTCCATGATTCTAATAGTTTGTGATGTACTCTGTTTCTGCGGGGGTCCAGACCCATGCCGGGATGAGTGGGTGACAGATGGTGGTCCTCCCTGCACGTGCAGAGGGGAGAGGCCAGGCCAGAGGGGATGTGGGGTCCAAGGGCAGCCGGGAGCCCTCTGCACTGCTCGTCAGCTGGGTGTCCTGGGGCAGGAGTCTCCCCAGGCCTCTGTCAGTGTCTGCTGTGAGGATTAAATGAGAAAGTACGTGCAAAGCACTCACCAGCGGCTTAGAGCAAGCATCTAATAGACCTGCTGACCTGGCTGTTATGACACCTTAAGGCCTGTTTTGAACCTCAAGACACTATGATTCTTTTCATGTAGGGTCAGGTAACTCAACTATAGGAAGTAGCCTACATGGATTGTTCCAGGACAAGGGAGAAAGCATCGTGCACGATTTACTCATTCATCCTGATATCCATCCATTACACGTGCTCTCACCCATCAGGTGTCACGCACGGGGTGAACCCTTACAGTGTCCCAGGCACTGGGACCGAGTGGGGAACACAAAGCCCCAATCTCCGCCCTCCTGGGACTTGTCACCTAGTTGCAGGACAGACAGTGCGGAAATAACAACTTCAGTAGCAGGGCACAGGCGTCTCTGCTATGGAGGGTGGTGCCAGGAACCGAGTACACCCAGCAGGGTCCCATCTTACTGTCTGGAGGGGCCTCTGTGGTGACATGGCTCCTGCAGAGATGTCTGGCTGCCCTAGGTAGGGCAGCCCCCTCCTCCCCTTCTTTAGATGGGACCTGAGCCCCTCTGCGTAGGGACCAGGGCTGAGAAATTTCCCTGGAGCCTGTTCCCATTAGGGACTGTGGGAACCCAGCCTGAGGCTGGACGGTGACTGTCCTCAGTGTCTGCAGGGCCCCTGGAGTGGTCATGGCTGTCCCGAGGGAGATGTGGACACTGGACATACAGCAGCCCATTCACAGAAAGCCACATTCTAAATTTGGGGAATCCTTCAATCAGTCAAACAAATGAAACCTCCTGAACAGAATTCTCAGTACACAGACCACAAGTTGGTTCTGCTTCAAAGTCTCTTTAGTTTAGCAATTATCTTTTTCTAGAAGAGGATTTCCTGAAAGTTTTGAAAGATGACCATGCAGAACTGGGACCACGTAAGAGGACAGGCACTTTCTCTCTCACACGCACATGCCCATGAAAGAAAGGAAGGAAAAGGAATCTGGGAGAACTTTAGATGTTGGGACCTGGGTTTGTCCAGATATTCTCAGAAAGAAGCTGGACATCTGGAAGAATATCAGTTCAGGATTTTTTTTTCCCCTGAGGCCAGGACTGATTTTTAAAGACAGATTTCACAATGAGATTGGAAAATATACCAAACAATGACAGATAATACTCTTGGTCACAATGACCTCTTTACAGAGGTTGATGGTATATACATGGATCGATGTTTACCCCAATGGTAGGCCACCTGGGGTAGCATTTATGGGCAGCTCCTGTGTGCTGGGCACTGTCCTTGGGGCTGGGGCCAGAGCAGGGACAGAAGAAGCCAAATTCTTGTCCTCAGACGCCTCTGTCTACTGCGGCATGTCCCAGATACATACTGTGAGCCACATATGGGATTTAAAAAAAAATTATTGGAGCATAGTTGATTTACGGTATTGTGTTAGTTTCAGGTGTACAAGACAGTCAGTCAGTTATACATATACATATATCTGCTTTTCTTTCTTTCTTTTTTTTTTTTTTTGAGATTCTTTCCCCAACACATGGGGATTTTAAGGTTTCTAGTAATCATAGTGAAAAAGAAACAGAAAGGAGAATTTAGAGTACATTTCACTTCATCCAATGCATCGTTATTATTGTTTCAATACGTATGAACAGAAGCAGTGTTGGTGGGAAACTTGCACTCTTCTTTTGTTATAAGAGCTGGGAAACCCAGCAGGTGTTTTGCACACAGAACACATCTCAGTTTGGGTGAGCTGCATTTCAAGTCCTCGGTAACTACCGTGAGCCCTGGGAGTCTCGAAGGTGGGGTGTCTGAAACTCTCTCAACTTGTGCAGAAACTCTGGGAAGCAGAAACCACTGGGCTGTTGTTTCCAGATGGAATGACTTTTGCTGGACCAAGCTGGGCTGCTTTCCCCCGGCGTCCCCCTCCTTCCCGGCTCCCATTTCCAGCACTCTCAGATCTGTGCTCTCATTAGCTCAGCTCACCTCCCAACAGTCCTATGAGGCAGAGACCACAGTTACCCTCATTTATCAATAAGGACAGGGAGGCTTAGCAGAGAGGTTAAGCGACTTGCACACGGTCACCCCACCAGTAAGCGGCAGGGCCCACACTTGAACTCAGACTGGTAACCAGCACACGTGACCCCTCACTGCAGACAGGTTGCTGACTGCAGAAGGGGCTGGGGTGAGCCTTTTACACCCCTAAGGTACACTTGTTTGTTTACAAATGTTAATTAGAAAAGAAATACTGACTTATTATTTAAATAATAGGGCTTCACTGGTAACTCAGACGGTAAAGAATGGCATTTGGGACCCCTCTGTACTGCTCACCAGCTGGGTGTCCTCGGGCTGGCAGTCTCCCCCGCCTCTGTCAGTGTGGCCTTACAATGCAGGGGACTCAAGTCTGATCCCTGGGTCGGGAAGATCCCCTGAAGCGAATGGCAACCCACTGCAGCATTCCTGCCTGAGAGTCCCACATACAGAGGAGCCTGCCGGGCTATGTAGTCTGCACGGTCGCAGAGTCGGACACGGCTG